ATTGGCTTTTAGGTAAGACAACTGAATCACAAGCTATAGTATACATTTACAAGTTTACAAAGGTAAAGTAAAAGGTAGAGTTAAATTATTATTTATTAATAATAATCTAAAATAAAGCCTTGGTTTTTATCAGCATTTTTATTCAAATACTATTGATTACTTTGATTTAGGTTATGCTATGTTACGATATCATTCTTATCACTAACTGTATGTCCAAATATTTATGTTCTTAATTGCAAATTATGTACTTTATTCATAAATGATGAATACAATTGTATTTAGAGATGGGATTTTCAACTCAATAACATGAGTCAGTTCACTTGACTCAGTTCACTCAAATGAGTTGTTGACTCGGGGAGTCAACTCAGTGCGTCAACTCCCAATTTCCATTGACTCCCATTAATTCCTAGTTATCAATTCATTAAATTAAATAACTCTCGTATGATAATTCATTTAAGAGTTACTTCAGAGTATTAGATCATCTATCACTAAATAATATATTATGAACTATTGATTTATAAAAATGTATTAAGACCTTATTTAATATTAATTTTAAGTTACCAAATTGTTTTTGTTGTTTAATGCATTACAATAATATGTCATATACTTGTGTATTTACTATTTAGTATGTATATTAAAATATTATACAATGAGGAATTAATTTGAACTTTTTTTTTATGTACAAATTTAATTTAAAATGTTATATTATTGTGAACATATGAATGTTTTATTAAATATATATATATTTATTATATTTGTTTATTTATTTATTTTTCAAAAAAACAATGTGCCCCATGAGTTCTTAATTTGAAATACAAATTCATGTTAAATATAATTAGTGTATTCGTTTGTTTTTTCATAAATTATATTTTGTGGACAAATACAATGAAATGGAACACTACAAGGTAGCAGCATAAATAGCTGTTTTATTTTAAATATAAAAATGATAAAATAATGATTTTATAAATTAGAATAAGCATTGTACCAAACTACTAATACTATTTTGTATAGGTCTACATAGACACATAATACACGCCATACGGTATTCAATAAAAGTATTAATCTTATATTATGCGTTATCTAAATGGCACGAACTAATATATAATGCTATTAAATAAGTACACCGTAGCGTTCTTTTCGATTCACAACATTTTTAACGGGTTTTCCATTCGAATTTTTTTTTTTTTGAACGAGTGCAGTTCGATCACTACCTGCTTTTTACATGAGTGCAGTTCGACCATTACCTTTTTTCAATCCAAGTGCAATTCGACCAATCATTTGTAGGTAATAAGTGCAATTCGACTATCCCGCTTTATTGTTACCTGTTTAGTTAGGCGATCTAGGACAAATGGCCGTGGCCGTTTGGACGTGGGGAAAATTGGACGTAAAAAAAAAAAAAAATTATAAATCAATAAATAAAATGAATAAGTTATTTACATTTATTATAAAATTCATTCACCGCAAAATATTACAAAATACAAAATATTTAAATATTGGTACAAATTATTTATTCATTATTTATTTGTTATAATACGTCCATAGTTATTCATATTAATATATATTATCGTACGTTAAAATATTAAAAAATGAATATTTTATATTAATGTAGAGAAATATTTTGAGCGATCCCACGTAAAAATGATATTTTAGTTCTAGTTTTATAACATAGAACAAGTCTTAAAATACGTTTATCTGCATCAATAAATTTCTTTAATTTTTTGAGGGGGCTCTTACCTACTTCAAGTTGGCTGTAAAATACATCTCGCCCAGCTTGTACTCTTCGTAAGCAGTTGATGAAAGACCAGAAACTAGAATGTTGAACTCCCATTTCGACATTTAGTCGCATATTAGCTGCTTCGGCATGGTTGTTAGTCCTATCTTGACCATTCAAAACTCGTAGGTGTAAATTCCAGATGTGTGGTGGGAATAATGCTGGCCGACGACCTCTTCCGTTTCTATTAACCCTTCCAACATAATTGTCCTCAAACCAGTCAAGTAAAGATTGTAAGCATTCTGGTGAATCATCTCCCAATTGTTGTATAGTGGCATCTAGGTCTTCGATTGGAACAAATGAAAGAGCTACGACCATTTTTATAAATAATGAAAAATCAACATCGTTTTTATACCTTGAAGCAAAACCCGTTTCGTTAATTTTTTATGTAAGTTTTTTGTTAGATGATACAAACAACCGTGAATTTCAGCATCGGGGTATTTTTTTTTTATGGTATTAATTACTGATAATTCAAAATCACATGACTCGAATCTTGGATTTAAACCGGGTTTTAATAAATTTAACATATCAAATAATTTATCGTATGTTTTTTCTTGTTTATTCGGTAACAGTGCATAAATTAATGGATGTGCACTATTTAGTGCTTTCGCCAGAATAACGTAAACTTTTAAGTTTACAATTTTCAAAAATTGTTGGTGCTACTTTAAATGCTCCATCGCAATACCATACTTTTGAAAAATGTAATATTTCTAAACTTCTAGGCCTTCCAAAAATTAAAATTCTACTTTCACTAGGTCCGCTATCGTCTAATAAATAATTTTCCAATATACCTTCGGACGGTGAGTAAACTTTGTAGGTATCTGGTATCTCTAGTGACATCAAATCATTCGGTGCATTTGGTGCTGCGTGTATTTCATTTCGTTTTCTTCGAACTGTTTATTTTTATTACTGAACCACATTGAAGGGTTCCCTATATAGTTATAAAAATTTAAAAAATTAAACTCAAAAACTATAATTAAGAAAAATAGGGCAGTTTCTATTAAGTACCTTAGATGCTTCTGATAGTCCAGAAATGCATTCATTTATCACTGTAGACGTTGGTTAAATTGTTTCTCTAGCACGTTTTTTAATATTGCACACTGCGATATTTGCTTCAACTTTAGTAGCGTCAGAGTCATGAGTATGATTATTTATACGCTTAAGAAGAATTAAGTTTGTAATACTAGTATACACATGAGTCCCTACACACTAACCTACATCGCCAAAACCGTTTTAAACCATCAGAACTACAAGCGTCAAATAAGTACATGAAACCGTCATCCAAAAAAACTTCACCATCGCGATTTGAGTTAATTAACGACACTTTACTCGTTAAATGTATATGTACAGTTGTACACAATTTCTCTTAATGATATTCTCCGAATCGCTGACAAAACTATATTCCTTAAAGACAACTATCTTATCTATGTAATAGAAATACCACTAATTTCCAGTGAAGAATATAGTATTTACCACCCGATACCTTTACCTATACCCCACAATGAACAAACCATTTTCTTAGTCAACCCCGAAATAGATTATTTCAGTGTGAGCAGAGATACCGAAAATGTTATTGCTTTAGACAACCGAAAGTGGGAAGAATGTATAACATTATAACCCTATAGGGTTTGTAGAGGTAATCAACATATCTAACATTGTGCAGAATCGGATGCATGTGTAGTTTCATTACTCGTAAATAACCAATTTAATCCAGACAATTGCAAATGCAAATTCGTTTCCTTAAACAACCCGATATGGCATCATTTGGTGCAAACTAATTCATGGATCTATTATACCCAACGGGAAGTAGGTACCATCACTTGCACGAACCAAATGGAAAATTCCAAAATAGATAGGCAGATTGACTATACCCCCGTTTTGCAAAATTAATCTCAGAAACTCTATATTATTCTCTAAAAACAAAGCTAATAGGGACGTTGATTCAGATATTATACCAGAAAATTCCAGGAATGAACCGTTACACGCATTTTCAAATATGGTCAGAACGATTTCTCCTCAGAATCTCACTAACAAAATCCTGATCCAAAATTTAAACCAACTGACTGATAGAGCAGTTGAGTTAAATAAACTTTCAAATACTTTGACTGAACCTTCGTTAAATTTCAACATTAAAATTCATGTTATTGTAATCTATATTATTGTAATACTAACATAACTAACAACTAGTATATTAAGTTGTACATTAAGAAAAAATGTCACAAAATCATACAACCCTGAAATACCAGAAACAGAACAACCTAACGGTATTTAGGAAGACACCCAAGTGTAATTTATTTCCTTTTATTAAAATTATTTTTATTTTCTTTTATTGTCAAACTGAACTGACCCCCAAATACAGAAACTCCAAACTTTACAGAATTTTTTAATTTGAGTGAAACACTGTGGTCACTGGACCCCCGTGTCTCGTTTAGTCTGGGGGGTGTTAAGAGCTCCTGAATATTACATATTCTATATTTTCGAATAATATATATATATATATATATGTTGACAACATATATAGAACATTTCATAATGCAGAGTGTGTGTGTGTCGTATGACGCTGCTACAGTGGGATCCGCTGAATAAGGGATTTTTTTATGTGAACGGAGCACCGTCGCGGCAACACACAGTCAGTCGTATTATAACCAGTGTTAGATTAACATTTGTAGCTATACTTAAGATTTTTACTACCAATTTCAATAAAAAATACATTAATTATTTTAATATTCAATTGGTGCGTACGCTTTATTTTTTTTGTTGTGTGTAAAATCCATAACACTTAACATTACGATCGTCATCTGCTTTACAATTTGACAATGCAGATGGTTTCATCAATTGCATATTAGATAACATTTTAAAAGTAATTCTAAATGTCTTTGCTGTAGGGTTTGTATTATAACCACCTCGTTGGCGAAAAACGGAAAATGTTTTTTCAATTACATTTTGATTTAATCTCGCCATTAACAATTATTCAAAACTTAATTTTGATTGTTCTTCATAAATATTAATGACCGCGTTAATTGTCCATTTTAATCCGTCAAAACTGTATGGTCTAGAATGGCCGCTGCATTTTTTTAGACTTCGGCACCATGTTTTTGCACTTTCTAAAAACTTGAGTTTTTTAGGTCTCTCTTTTGATATTGCACACATGTAAGGATTTGAACTGTACAATGATCAACTATTTAAACAGTCAAAAAGATTATTAACAAATGAATAAACTCAGCAGTAAACAATGCTTAAGATGATTTAAGTTCGTCAGTTTTCATACAAGTTTTAATTGCTGCACTCATTATATTGCTAAATATTTGTAAAGCCAGTTTACAGCTCATTTTTTGAAATGGCCCGGGATTAATATGACTGTCCGTTATTTTAAGAAGAACTCGACTTGAAGTACTTTGTTTATCAATTAAATATGTTTGTTTGATATCCGAAAATGAAACTTTATTATCTAAACAAATTATATCGCTTGATAATAAATTATTTCTTAAATTTTTAAAAAGATGTGTTACGTCATAATTTTTATATTATTAACCATAAACCATGGTTTCTCTTTTGTTAGATTAAGTTTGCTAAAAGCAGACCTGTTATTCGGGCCTTGATCACATACTATAGCTCTAACTTTAAACCCACAGTTCATTAATTGTTGTACATGATCAACAATCAGCTTACTCAAAGTAGTTGCTTTCATTGATGTAGCAGAAAGAAAATATGAAACGGGCATTTTCCAGCTAGAATACATGTCTCTAATTAAAAAAACTCTAGCTTGAGTAGCTAATGCGTTACTACATCTTTTTGTACCCAAATCTTCATATCCTTCAACGACATCTAAATATTTGGAGTACTCTAAGAACTTTTTAATTTTCATTTCATCAAAGACCAGAGTACAATATTTTTCTTCATCTGACATTGAACGGACTTTTAACGTAAGTTGTTTTAAAATATTTGCATTTAAGCCCTGCTTAAATTTATAAGAACTAATTAAACGTCTAATTTTACTAATCCCTGGTAGATTAATTTGTATGTTTCTTAAAAACTTATAGGCTGATGGAGATTTGTAATAAAGTTTAAGAGCAAAGTTTTGTTCATCTTTTGACCATGATTTTTTTGACATTTTACCTCTCATAATTTGCATATTTACTAAAATTTGAGCATCTTTTGATGGAAAATGCAAGGATTTTGTTACATCATGAGAACGAAATAAATGACGAGCGTTGCTTAAACTTTTAACCTAACCAGTCCGTGGTTGTGGAGCTCAAATCCGTGGCTCTAAGTAACGCTAAGCTACATGATAAGCTCAACCACCTCAATGCGGCACCTAATGCCCTAACTCCCAAATCAAATGCTCAACTCTTTAAACTGCCAGTTGATGTACACCCGAACTCGGTTACGGGTAATCGTTCTACTCAACCCGCAAACCAATTGACTGCCAGTCAATCTTCGTCTGTAAAATCAAAATTCATTGTTGGTTCTGTAAAGAACTCATCTTCCAAGCTGTCATCAGTGCCTGTGCGTAAGCATGTTGATATTTTTGTCTCGAGGCTTGATCCAAGTGTTACAACTGCCCTGTTAGAATCTGAACTGTTCAATGGTTACTCAGACGTGACCATCAGCAAAATGGTTACAAGGCATCCATCATACTCTTCGTTCCATATTCGTCTGCCTGCGGATAAGCTGGATGTTGTCCTCGATCCTGTATTCTGGCCCGATGGTGTAATGGTCAAACGTTTTTGGGGTCGTCTTGCTCCTGAGATGATTCAAGACGCCACTCCAAAAAACTGATATCTTTATGTTCGTCTACCTGTCCTCCTCTTAGTTTGGCGTGCGCACCACCCACTTCCAGATCTGGTGTTGTGAAGCACCCCGAAAAACTTATCAGCCAAGGAGTGAAGCTTCCCATGGGCTACTATCAAAACTGTAGAGGTCTAAGAACCAAACTTTGTCTTTTTAAATGTAATGTTGCTGTGTTTAATTATATTTTCATTTGTTTAACTGAAACGTGGCTTACTAATAGCTTCCAAGACACGGAATTAGGTTTACACAACTATGTTGTATTTAGGTGTGATAGAAGTAGTCAATCCAGTAGTTTTAGTAGAGGAGGAGGAGTTCTCGTTGCCATTCGTAACGATGTGGTCCATAACTTGTTACCTGCACTCATTAACAATGTTGAATATCTATTCGTTAAATTTTATGTAAATAATACTGCTTATATTGTTTGCTCCGTATACATTCCTCCTAGTAGCCCTATCCCGGTATATGAGTCCTTTATGTCTGCTGCTCAATATATTATCGACGCTAATCCTGGTTCCGTATTTATTTTCTCTGGTGATTTTAACCTTCCTGACCTATCCTGGTCTAATGACGATTTTGGCTTAATTTAT